TTAAGGCGCTTCGGAAATATAAGAATTGACTGTAAACAAGCCTTAGTGCGCACTCAGTGCGCACCAGTGCAAGCAACCGAATTCGCTATAAGAAATAAAAGTCCGCGGTTAGGATCCATAATTTTACCGCGCTAATAGTAACTGCACTGCAAAAATTGACCGTGTAATAAACTTTGCACTCCTTCAGTTTATTTTGCGTATCCGAATACAAAGTCAGTGCTACACTAGGTTAGTGTAACACTCATCGAACATGATATAAGGTTTGTACTGTAATAGTGCAATATAACCGAATACGACGAGTGCAATGCACTGAAACAGAAGGCATTGATCGAATACGTTGCACTGGGAAAGTTTGCACTCAGTGTACACTAGTGTACATTAGTGCAAGCGACCGAATTCGCTATTATTTGCCAAAATTCGGGTGGGTTATATTCTTATCTTCTTTACATATTCTCGCATATGTGCAAGATTAAAAAGATCCCTATTAAATCCCTATTAAATTGCGCGCGTATAATCCCAAATCGGACCTCTTATAAATCGCGTCACGGTTTTAACAAAAGATTTGTAGGTTTATTAACAAAAAGTTGAAACGCGGGAGGAAACGTAGGAAGGAAAATGGATAAGGACTATGCAGCGGAATACGGGTGGGTGGGTAGGTAGGGATTCAGGTAGGCAGGGACAGGGGTGGGCATAACTCGATAATGTACTGTACTTTGTTACAATGAATTAATCACAATATATTGCTGTATTAATAACATCTATATTCTTATCAGTGGTTGATAAATTTGTTAACCATAATGTTGACAAACGGGAAGTAATGTAATGAAAGAATAGCTTTCGTAGATTTCGCACCGACGGGGATGTTACCTCATGCAGGTCAAACTTATCGAGTACACATGACGTCATATTTCTTCACGTTGAAGCTACCGCTTTCAGATGCGTGAGGGATGTAAGAGATCATTTAAAAAGTTTTAAAACATAGCGCGTAATTAAATGTTATTTAACGAAGAAGTGGCCAATTATAAGAAAATGTAACGTCAATATGAAGAAAATTGAAGATACGTATAGTAAACTTTTCTTCGCATACAATTGAGTTTTTAAGAATATACTTTGCATGAATCTTATCCTTTTGTATTGGTCTTTTGATAAAAGTATCACTACAAACGATTAACAATATAGTAATATTTATGTAACTGTTAACAATCATCTGCACAAGTCTATAAGATTATGTTAAATTAAAAGGAATCCCATACAGTACGCATGTCTGAAAGACATCTTTAAGACGTCTTTTAGACATACTATACGTGTTATTTGGGATATTAAAAAGATTCTCTCTGTAATAAAAAAAAGATTTAGCGACTAATTGAATATTCCATAAATTCTATATAAAAAAAGAAGCGTTGTAATTGTAAGTAATCCCGTTTCATCATCATAATAATGGTTTATTATTGAAGTGATATAGTTATAATGATTCGTAACGTATTTAACTACAATGATAGGTCTTTTATCTAATACAGTCGTGTTTATACATGGATTATACAATATTTACAGTAACTTAAGATCGTACAAGCAATACTTTTCTTGGACAATTTCACAGGACATTACGCCAGGTCAATGGCCGTCGGGATATATATATATTTTTTTTTCTCGTCTGCGTCACATAACGTCTCATTCGCACGTGTAAAGTATTTATACGGCGTACATGTGCGCGCGCGCCCCTTAAATGCGTATCAATCGTTAAATTACGAAAATTTTGGTAATACACTTATGATGTACATCGACTGTTCGCTAATCGCTTTGCTACACTTATCGACCATTTATTCGCCACGCATTCGCTATTTACAATACAGTTTTCCTCGCGCTTCGCTCGTAAAAGGGTCGCCGATCCTTCGATACTCTCTCGAAACGGAGAAAGTAATAGGTGTTACATCATCTACAGAAAGATTTGTAATTTTTTTTTATACGTCCGTAATCATCGCGTCGAATACGAGCGGCGAAGGATTTTCTAATACCCGAAAGATCGTTTCGCTTCTGGATTGCTATTTATGAAATCATTACGGGAAATGTGTCTGTGCACTCCTGCGAAATATACACGAGTTCATAAAAAATTATCTATGACAATTATCGTAAAACAACTATTAATCGATCGGCTAGTTTAAAGATCAGGATTATTGATCGGTAAAATGTATTTAACGGGTTCGCACATCGAACTTGCACCTCTCTCCTCTCGACACGAATAATTTACACCGCCGCTATTAAGATTACTCTTACACATCGAAGACGAATATTATTCGATGATATATATTCCCCTCCCCCTCGCTCTTTCTTAGCACGCCTCTTTCCTTTTCGAAACGTAAAAATATAATCTGATAAGTACAAAACGTCGATATGCTTCGATGCATCAAGTTCAATCGCCCTGTCAAGCTACCTCAACCGAACTCGCAAGTTTCTCGGCACATCTCCCGCAGACGAACGAACACACCGTGCACTGCTAACACTTGTAAATAGCCAAGCAGCTATCAGCGATTTTGATTTTTGGCGGACGCGACGTACCCGGAAGAAGTGACACACTTCGACATGTTTCTTCTTTTTTTCTTGTGCCTTTCTTCCTCTTATTTTTGGTAACGTTACGCAACGAGAAAGAAAGAAAGAGAGAGAGAGAGAGAGAGACAGACACGCTTGAACGATGCCTAATCGATGAGATTTTCCGGGATCTTTCCCCAACTCTGTTAATCTTTCTCTCTTTCTGTCTGATTGCGAGAAATCAGATGAGTTATTCTATCGACGAAGTGTTCACCGAAGATGCCGGTATGCGTTTCCTAGTTGCACGCGCACGTTTTCAATCGTGTCGTCGTGTAGCACGTATCGCTGTAACATCCGCTGTGTTACGTGTAGTTTGGCTTTCGTCTTAAAAAGGAGAAGATACATAGAAGCCGTTACACGAGTATTAATTTGTGAGTATGTACATACACGTAGGATCGATTACACGTAAAAGTTCATCTCGCGTCAGTCATACTGATTACTATATCATTTGACATGCATGCAGACCTCTCGCGAATTTTCAGAGATGATTTTAAAATGTTTAAGTGTACCGTGGCTACATTTACGAAGGAAGTTATTCGGAAGTGAAATAATCAGCGCTGCGCGGCAATAAATAATCCCCTCGGCGAATGGAACTCGCATAAATGTTTTCCCCTCCGCACGTAAATAAATTCGGTCATTCGTTTTCGATCATTCACGTAATATAACTCTTTATCGTTTAAGCGCCGCGAGTCTTTAATACATTTCGTTTACAAATTTTATAACAAGCGAAATTTATATGCAAGAGTCTTAATATTGCTTCTGCAAGTGCGGAGAATGAGTTTGAAATTACGAATTCGCGCGCAGTATTGGATATTCCGTAGTTGACAATGCAACGTATACATTGCCGTGTTTTCTAAGAAAAAAAATCTGTTTCGTTACATATGCGATTTTATTAAATATTTGGTATTACTTATGTAAAGAATTACATTCTTTATGTGGATACGGTAGATGCATATAGACGATAGGTGCCAGAATCGGAACTTGGCGAAAAAAGTGAATAATAAATAAATCATAAATTAGTGCACGTGTTGTAAATGTGTGGTATACGTTTCATTGGCGATGCTTCGATCGTTCGGTAATTGAATACATAACAATATAGGTAATAATGATTAATGCTACTGTATCAAGTTATTATTGGCTATTTTCAATTGAGGTTTGACAGAAAGAGTTGAATGCGCAGTCAATAATGCAAAAGTTGCTTGGTTGTGTCGAATGTCGCAGTAATGCATATTTCACTTACATGGACATGCGTTATTTACTAAAAAATCACAGATAAAGAATTAATATTTAAAATTCTTCTATAAATTATTATTATTAGAGCGTAATTAACTTTCTAATAATTACAATCGCATTTAAAAAATATATTAAAACATAGCCAATGATATAGTCATAGTCTCTCTCATATTTATATAAATTAACAAATCTTTGTATCGAATCGTCCGTAAAGTCGGAAAAGAAAATGAAATGGAAAATGATACTGTTGGAAGTTTTTCAAAATTTTACGCAGCGTCGAATGTCGCTCCTTCAAATAGTAATTTCTTTCTTTCACAAAACTGAATAACATTCTATATAATCCATATAAATTAATCTGGGCGGTGCATATCTGCATACAAACATTTTCAATAAATATTATAATAATTTTCACTGTCGTAATTTATTATTATAATATTTATTACAATCGTTATACTTTATTGTTACGGTTAAAATTATGATAATAAATATTATAACATTTCTAGCAAATATCCTAAATGTTATAATATTCTTTATTTCATCGTTTAATTAATATTTTAATTTTGTTAAATAATTAATATTTACAACGACAACGCAAACATCGCCGATGACGTATGGAGGATGGACGTTTAATTAGCAATAGTACTAAGTGTTATTTCTTCCTTCTTAATTATGTCACTGATTTCCGAGGCATTCGCAGACATTCGCAACACACGCTGTATCTCCTGCATACGTCCATCCACGCGTGTAAACGATAATAAATTTATTATCATTATTATAATACTATGATACAAGATATAAGTACATTGGTTTAGTGATTGCAGGCTGCTCCTCTCATATCACAGCGAGGGGCGCTGCCGGGCCCGCTTCCTAAATTACACCTATAAACTCCCGTCATCCTCGCATTTGTCTCGTTCTAATTCCGTTTTTCTATCGCACATACACATCGCACGCACACACATCGTAAACAAACGGAAGCGACACATATACAATCGCGTGTATATACAACTCGCACAATTGACGCCCTATTGCATCAATACAATGTAATTTATGTATACATATGTATATATATGCATATATATTATATAATGGTGTATTTATATATTTATATTTATAATATATACGCATATATATACTACTCTATGTATATTCGTATATATATGCATATACATATATATAGACGTATATTTATCGTTATGTATATAAGTATTTATAACGTAGCCTTTTAGATAACCCGGAGAGGTGACCACCGCTGTCGCGAATGGACGGTCGAACTGTGTCGGGGTCGCCCGTAAGGACGCGACGCCACATGTCTTGCGGCCTGCGCTCGCCTACCCCCGCGAGCCCGAGCTCAGTCTAGGCGTCGCGTCACCGCGCGGGGACTCCCGTGCGAGGGATTCGCGAATTCGTACGTGGATATACCGTGGATGCACGTTTCTACGAGGCTCGATCGTGCGCGGGATCAATATTTTAAGTGGAACGTCCCGTCGTCACCGGCCGCCCGCATCGCGGAAGCTCGGCTTGAATAAACGATGAACGCGTGCAGCGGCAGCGGCGACGGCGGCGGTGACGCGATCGAGCCTCGTCGAGAGTTTTCGAACCGAGGTCGAAACTCCCGGTGTCCTAGCCTACTCGGAAGCCGTCGACGGATCGATGGAATCTACCGACCCCCTTTTACGCATATTAAGACTAGCGCGATAATAGGAACATGGTGTCTTCGCTCGCAGACATTGAAAACCACTACCGGGCGTGTGGGAAAGGGACGAGGAAAAGGGGGCGAAAGAGACAAAGAGAGAGAGAAAGAGAGAGAGAGAGGAGAAGAGGAGGGATATGTCGTCACTCGTACGTAGAGAAATGCCAAAAAGCAACTGGATCACCAACGAGCTACGCTCGGTCGCGCGATTGTCCCGGTGATCGTTCCGATCGTGCTCTCTCGCGACGTGAGAAACTGGACGATCGCTTTCAGTCCCGAGGATTGTCTTCCTTGAAATGCACGGGTACAGCAGGGGAAAAAAATCATGTCGTGTCGTAAACTGCTCCGGTCGGGAATCGCCTTTGGGCGACGCGTCATCGCGCGCCACAAAAACTCTTCCCAGTCCTTGATGAATCCCACGAGACCGGATGGGAGCCGATGGTGAGACCTTCGCCGATTGGGACGGAGGGCCAGCGGGGTCGAGGTCTACCCGCTATCAGCATTCGCCGCGACTCTTCTCTTCGCCTCTTCTAAACTAATTCAGTCTGAGAGAATCGTATCGATATTATATTATCAGCCTCTTACGCGCGGCGGAGACGCGGCCGCTACGAGCGGACGATCGCGCCTTTCGTGCAGTTAGATGGAGAGATATGTATCCGTCAAGTCTCACGCGGCCAACCCCTCTCCCCTCGTTGGTGGCGGCGGCAGCCGCGCTGCCGTGGGCGGTGTGGCGTCGTTCTCGGCTCTACTCGCCGTCTCCCGGTCGAAGTGATGCTGAAGAGTGTCGCCGGTCCAGGACACGCTGGCGGACGTCTGATTACCGCCGTTGGACGACGCGCCGGGCGAGTGCGAGGGCGACGGCGTCTGGAAGAGCATGGATCCCGAGGGTATCGCGGACTTGCCGTCCAGAGGCCCGTTACTGGTCGGCCCCATCGGTTGCTTGTCCAGGGAGAAGCCGCCCCCGCCGGCGCCGTACACCGAGCCGAACAGGCTCGCCGCGTATTTGCCCGCGCTCAAGGAATGGGACGGCAATCCGTTGCTACTTTGAATCACCGAGATCTCGTTCAGCTGTAAATAATACACGCCGTCTGGTTAGGGCTTATTCGGGAGGGCAATTACCTACAAAAATAAAAATGTACGGCGATTGTTAACGACCGCCCCGTTTCTGGCGTTTGACATGATGTTAAACATTTCAAGTTGAACAGCAATCGTTACGTGAAGCTCACGAGACAGTTGAAATAAGAGTTTCTGCGAATTATTCGGACTTGATATTGTACGCGAACAATTATAGCGAGATTTACATATTCTCGACGTCTGTAACGATTATCGCGATAATCGTCCTTGAATCAAGCCGGCGGAATGGCCTTTCGCTTCGAGAGCGATGTATTACCTTCTGCTGGACGCCGTTAAGGAATGGCGCGGGAAGATACGGGTAAAAGAGGTCCGGTCGCCGTTGCAGAAACTCCGAGTCCTTGGGCGTGATTGGCAGGGGTGGTATATCCAACGACATCCGTCGACCTCGACGTGACGTTCCATTGGTGAACATGTGAGTGCCCATGTGCACCTGCGGTAAGAAAGACAGGGGAGACGATCAGAGGCGGTGCTGGCGCGTCGGATCTCGATCGGGTAGGCGCTGATCTTTCATCGAGCCCTCGAGCGACTGTTTACGCGTTTTTGTTGTGGCGTTAGTAGAAGCGGTAGCGGCTAGCTGGTGTTAGTTAGAGACTTTCGGGAACTTGAACAGAAGGGGACTCAGACTTTTCACGACGGCTTAGAGAATCAATGTGTTGTATACCTTGAGGTTGCCTTTGGTGGTGAACGCCTTCTGGCAGACGGTGCATCGGAACGGCTTGTCGCCAGTGTGAGTTCTCATATGAATCTGGAGCGCCGAGGACGAGGAGAAATTCTTATTGCAAATCTGGCACAAATGCTTGCTCAGCAGGCCTGCAAATACACATAATCGGTTTCGCTAAACTGCCCCTGATAGTGATATGGCGACGGTGGTAACGACTTAAAGGATCGTCACTCCGTAAAAGTCTCAGTCCGAGGCTGCGGATTATGAAAATTATATACAAGCGCGGCATAAGTAGACTCAGCGGTGTTTATCGAAGCTTCACTTAAATTTTCTTCTACATTCTGGCGAAATAATATCTAAACGTAACATCGGAAATGGAAATACGATGTAACATGCCGCATCGGCAAGAGATCCCACTTGCCCCGTGCGAGTGACAGTATGAACAGAGTGAGCGTGACCCGCCACCAGCAATCCAGCGTGTAGACAGAAATTCCGAGGCGTGTGGAAATAATGATGAACGGGAAGCAAGAGGGAGAGCGGGCTAACAAGCGTGTTGCAAAGCGGCAGCGTCGGACACTCCAAGCTCCAAGGTTTCCGTTAGCGAGATCGTGGCTGGTAACGCGTTGAGCAATGAGACCGGGGTCTGCCGAGCGAAGCTGAGCATTCGGATCATACGGGTGGCGCTCGATGAAGAAGCAGGATTGAGTTCTCTTTTCTCTTCCCTTTCGTTAGAGCGAACGAACGCGAGATATACTTACTGGCTGGTCTTTTCGGTGCCGGCAGGTCTCCTTCCGGCGACCTCTTCACCGGTATCGTAGACTCGATGGACGTCGGTGGCATCGGCGGGGGTGGTGGAGGTGGCGGGGGCGGGGGTGGTAGGCTCGAATCGTCGACGCACATCGGACTTCTGGAAGTCTCCTGATCCTGCTGCTGTTGCTGTTGTTGCTGCTGCTGCGGCGGCGGCTGCTGCTGCGGCTGTGGTTGCTGCTGCGGTTGCTGCTGCTGTTGCTGCTGCTGCTGATGCTTGGGGTCGCTGAACAGATGTGGCGGCATATCGCGAATCTTGTGAGTCAACATATGCTGCTTCATATTACCCTGCGCATCAAAACACGTTCTATTGTATTTCATTAAGCAGTTGACTGCGACTCCAAGAAAGGAACAGTCGTGACATTGTTATTCGTGGCGTGTGTGTATAATATATCAGCGATCTGCGAATATTGCCGTTGAATACCGTGGTACAGATGAACACGAGAGGCTTTATACTTTTGTTTCAAACGTGCCATATAAGGTACTCTTTTAAGCGGAGTAATACGATGTCTCGTTCTATGTAACATTTTGCATTATTCTGATAAAGTTAGCGCATATGTACCACGCGGACACATGTGGATCTTGCTTAATCGCGCGATAATTACGTCTTGAGTTGAAGTTCGGCCAGTTCGGTCACAAAAAAAGGAAGAAATGACATTATTAAAGAGAAAAAGAGATAATTGCGACTTGGCTTGGTAATATTATCGAGCGCACGAGATTGCTGGGCGAACGCGAGTACGCTTGCTGGTAGAGGAGGCTCTTACCAGGAAGACGTGGTCCGAGGGTAGAAGTCCGAGGGCGGGTGGCATCAGCGGGGGCAGGCGGACGGCAGGATAAACAGACGTCAGCCTTCGCCCCCCTCCTGCTCCTGTCCGCCCCCGGTTCTTCCGCTCCTCAGGCCGCCGCCGCCTGCGTTTCGGTTTCTCACTATTTCCGGCGACCGGTCTCACCGGGTACGAGCGATATTGGGGATTGGGTTGTGGGAGGATCGGACCCTTCGCGGCGAAGGGTTGGTCCGCGCAGGAACATACTGGCTGACCGGAATCGTCGTTCTGAAAGTACAGCAGAACAACGAGAAGAGTATAGAAGTGGCGTGAATAGATACAGCAGGAGAAACTTTGCGCGACGAATGAGATATTTCGAATACGTAATTGTCGACTTTTCTACCGTCGAATCTTACTGTCGACTAATCGACTTAAGGACTGGCATATATTTTTATAATGCCGTCAGTGCTAACGGTAATACCGGGGTATATTACCATATCATTAGTTGTAATAGTCTTATTCGATATACGTACTCTCTAAAATTTGTGGAGTGAAAATACTGCCATGAAGTGAAATGTTTACTCCATTGGAGTTAATATTCACTCTGTTGGAGGAAATATTCACCAATAGGGTGAACATTTCACTCCATGGCAGTATTTTCACTCCACAAATTTTAGAGAGTACGTATATTCAACGATATTCAAATTTTCTGGAAATTTTCTGTGGTGAACAACCTAAATTTAAATCAATGCTTAAGATTTAAATAAATGTGCGCGAAACTTAGCAGGTAAGAAGAATAACGTGAGTGTTTTTCTCTCTTGTATTTTTATTTATCGTTGTATGCGAACATTTCATTTAGGGTATTCTTTGGAAGTAGAGTAGGGTGGACATCTTTCTACAAGTAACGATATTTTTGAACGTTTAGCAAGCATTATTGTAATAATGCATTACTATAGTAACGATTGAAGATGTGCAGACATTTCTAAACAACATTGTCTTATGATGCCTCCTGACAGTTTCGAGAAGTTTTGAGTTTACGTCATATCAATTCCAATATAAATCTGTCCCAATTTTTGTGTGGAAATTAAACTAATATTTCTGGCAGGATGCAGATATTAAGATATATTGTTACGTAGTCTCGAAATGATTAAACATGTCACAATTAACACGGTATCTTGATATCGAGATATGAATCACAGGGAGACAAGACGACATACAAACGAGAAAGGGAATGTGAGAGGGGGGGGATAGAGAGAGAAAGAGAGAGAGAGAGATTAGCAATTCGCAATATTCGCTTTCAAGGTAAAGTAGATTTAATTACCTTCGTGGAAAAACCTCGGTCGCATATGGTGCATTTGAAAGGTCGCTCCTTCGTATGACTCCGGTAATGAATCTCCAATGCAGATTGGCACGCGAATGTCTTGTAGCAGAATTTACATGTGGTGTTGCCACGTACTGTAACAAATTGCATCTCTTTACATTTTCGATTCAATCCTTCGTACATACATTTCGACGAATTGCATTTCGAAAATATTTTTACAGCGCATTTTCGTTCCTACTATATCAATCTTCCGCATTGCATATTTTTTCCTAAAACGTGATATATCGTCTCTTAAGGAAAAGCATGATCGGTGTAACTTTTATGTGATTCTTATTTATGAAGACGTTCTGCATGAAAATGAAGAAGTTTTAATTTGGGGCGTACTACAGAACGAGATTTAGTTGGCTATATATCTTTTTAAAAGAAACAATATTTTCGAAACGTAAATTATCAAAAACTCGTATTTTGCAAACGTGGCCAAGTGCTATATTTTTCGCCACCAGGTTTTCGATTAGAATATTAAAAAAATTGCCAATAATAGATTTGCTAATGAAGCAAAAGATAGATCCGTCTCAATTCATGTTTTCTTTGGCCTGATTCCTTGCTAATCCCGTTGAAAATGCTCTCACAAAGATGGAACTTTATGAATTCGCTCACTGTAAATTGTGTCGACATATATATTAATGACTGAGCGATCTATATTTCTAAGTTATGTTTTCATAGAAATTATATCTCAAAGATATCAAGTAATTATTGATAATGGTTAGTCGTGATTTACAATTAGTTTTAATTGAGCACTCTTAGTGCACATTTATCATAATAATGCTGTAACAAGTAGTTTAAAAGTTACGTCGATCATGCTTTTTTTAACGTATTCGAATGTCATGTATTTCAACAAATTATGCCTTATTAAAAAAAATTGATAAAATTAGCCCTTATAACCCCAGCAGGTATTTATCAATGACTACGAAAAGAATTTATCTAAATAAAATGAAACAAAATAACAGAGAAGACGAGAGTGAATTGTTGTGCAAGAATAAATTGTACAAAAAGAAAATTATGATAAAAGTTTATTTTCTCAGTATTCTTTTCTAACAACATGTATTGTCAAGACCAGTGTCCTGAGCACTGTAATAAATATTAAGATTGAAATCATTATTTATAAAACAGTTACTAATAAATAAAGCTGTCGACAAGTATTGAATCAAAATCAATATGAAATTGGAAGATGCGGTATCTCTTACCGAAGATGGATAGGTTTTCAAAAAGGATTGATTAAGGTTCAGAAATTGGCAAGCGAAAAGTAAAAAATGTAAGCGAAAGGGACTTTGCCTTTTTCCCTGCATTTCGAAAAACATTTAAATTTCACTGGCCTACTGTTGGATCAGTTTGACGGTGCTGATCAGTTTCGCCTGTCCCTCGCCTTCACGGTCATTTTTCAATTTTTGATATTTTCATATTTCATAAACTTCTATTTTTAAATCAAAGTAAAACTTTCTCTACCCTCCGCAATAATTACTGCTTTAACCGAACCTAATCTTCGTCTGAAGCTAACTTATTCAAGTGTTCTAACTTAAGCCAACGGCACACGATACTATTTTGCCTACTGAATTGCTTACGAGAGCCAATCAGGATTTAGCCTTAAGTCGTCATCTGATCTAAAACTCTGCATCCTTATCGGCTCTCGCAAGCTTTTTCTAAACTTTATTTCGTATACAACTGGTATACATTATGATTATAATATTATACTATAGATATCGTATACATATTTTGTACTACATTTACTTCCTAACATGCATATAAATATTAAAAGCGTTAAACACAACCTAAAGTCGCGATGTTAAGAGATTTTAATAATAAAGTAAAAAAGCAATACTAGTGTAATAGTAATAAAAAATACATTAACGCGTTGAAAAACGATTGATATTTATTATGAATATCATTGTAATCGCCCGGCAAAAGCGGAAAAAGTCGCAGGTTCAAATTTTGGTCTAACCCGTTATTTTTCTCATCAAAAAGTTATTAAGCGGTGCGGTTACCTCTCCGAAGATACGATCCTGTTTATTATTAATTTGGAAATTATAAATAGTGTTGCTGCCTTTCTTTCCAATTGATAGAAAGAGTTAAAAAAATTGCCCGTTATCTTTGTCACTTTTTGAATATATTTCAGACAAAACCTACTTGTCTTAATAAGACCTACCTACTTGCCTTGCTTTTTGAATCTTTTCCAATGTGAGCGGACATCAATCGTTATTGTATTAACGTAGACTGATTAACTGCCAGTCGTGTTTTCTAATACTGAGGCCGAGTCTTCGTTTTTTTAGTTTTCTAAATAAAAAATAAAATAAATAAACAAAAATTGTACCGTTTTAAATGCGACGAGAATCACAAAGACATTCTACACATTGTATAAACGTGACATGACGCGGCATCGCAAGAGATATCGTGAATACGATGAGAAGCAGAAATTATTTCGCAACATGAAAGAATGCAGAAAGAGAAGACGACAAATGAAATAATAATAAACATACATATGGTAATATATATACATATATTATAAGTATAGCATACATATATTGCAGATATAGTAGACATAAAGAGAAGAAAAGAAAGAAATAAAGGTGACTTCCAAAACGAAGATAACGAGTAAGATAGAGAGAAAAAAAGAAGAAAGTCATATAATGGGAGAATGGGAGAGTGCTAGGTCCAGCTACACCACAAACAGGACGTTGATACGAGTCTGGACAAGATGGATACATCACGGAGATAGGTATACTCGGGGATACTGGACTCAGCGATTCGCGGCAAAGAATCATGATCATAGTTCGGACGAGGGACAAGGTGTAGCAGGAACCGCAGCCCGCCCTGATGCTAGCAGTTCCTACCTGCTGGGCCACCGACAGCTAGGCCGAGCGGATTGTAAGTCGATGACGCGGCTAGTACCGCCGAGGTGGTCAGCGAGGCTAGCGGTCCGCTGCCGGGCCCGCTTCCCGGGTTGACGGCGCTCATCGAGGTGACGCTGTTTATGTTTGGCGTGCCTATCGTGCTGGTGGTAGGAGCGGACGAAACTGCTTGCAGTAGTCCCGCGAACATGCCGAAAGGATTCGGTGGATGATGCGGCGTGGTTTGGGGTGGAGGTGTCGGCGATGCCGAAGCCACCGAGGCTGGCGTGGACGAAGCACGGGGCGTCAGGTCGAGTGGGGCTCCGGAGGTCGGCGGGCTAGTGCTCTTCTCGCTACCGTTATATCGGTGAAAGGATGGCGACCTGGCCACGTTCGTGGTCGTGGCCGTCGTCGTGATGGTCCTCACTTGATTCTCGAGCGCCGCCAACGAAGTCGAAAATATAGGAAGCGTCACGTCCTTGTGCTCGGTCGTATCTTGACTATCGTGGTCCTGCTCGTCTTCAACTTCGACGCTACGACTATCGCGGTTCAATTCGCACCTCTCGTCGTGCTCTCTGTGATCTTGCTCTTCGTCATCCTGATCTTCCATCTCCTCGCTATGCTCCTCCATAAATCTCTGCCGTTGGTGCTGAGACTCCTCTTTCGCTTCGTCGCTTTCTTGCGATTGTTGCTCGATGGCCGATTGCCTGGATGGAGGGAATCCTAAGGAGAAGCCTGCACTGGTCGTATGTATCGGCGGGAATCCTTGCGGGAGGAAGGACGCCAGCGGATGGTAACCGGGCGGGAACTCGTTCACTTCTGCAGCTTGGATCTGTTCTGGACTGAGGTCGGTGGGCTCCCCGGTGTGAAGGCGTATGTGCTGCTGCAATACGAGGGCGTTCGTGAATTTCTTGTGACACACGGGACATTGATGCAACACTCTCAGCGGTGGCTTAGCTCTGTGCACTCCCATGTGGGTTTTTAGATTGCCCTTCGTCGTGAAGGCGCGACCGCAAATTTTACACTTGAAAGGACGCTCACCGGTATGAGTGCGATAATGCATCAGCAACGCGCTCTTGCACGAGAGCACCCTGTGGCACACGATGCACTGATTAGGATCGCTCAGCTTGTGCTCGATATTGTCGACTAGTTGCTGCAGCTTGGACGTCTCCGAAGTTTTCGTTATTTCGATCAAGCTCTCCCAGGAATTGTCGTTACTGCCGGGCCGCGGTAGTAGGGACGAATAAATCGCTGGATCCTTGGCTGGATCGATCATTTCGTTTCCGGACGTCATAATTGGTCCTGCCTGAGTAGAAACAGGAAGGTGAGAAATTTGATGATGAGTCGGCGGGCCAGGGAACAAGATTCCGGCGAAAGATGTCTGCAGGCTGCCGCTACTTGCGCTACTACTGGCCGGTGACGCTCCTGGATACGCCACGATTTGTTGAGGCAAACGATTGATCGTACCTCTGCCGGAAAGGTTTTCAGGTTGCTCTTCCGTTTCCTCGTCTACTTCCATCTCTCCGTCGCCCTCTAAACGTCCACTGATCTTGCTGTCCATACTACAATCGTCGTACGTTTGCGGCTGGGACGGTGGATTCGCGGATTGGGGTGAATTGAGGTATCGTCTCGTGGTTTCCTCGAAATCCTCGCTCTCTTCCTCAGCGATCTCTTCCGCTTCCTCGGGTTCTCTCTTCGGCGTTATTCGCTCGGTGCCTTCCCGGCTCATCGGTCGCTGTTGGTACTGCTCCTGCCCGGGCGATCTCTGTTCGAGTTTTATCTCTTCCCTCTGCTCAAGTTGCTGCTTTTGATGTTGTTGATGGAGATTGTCGTGAAAGGAATGACGAGAATTCAGTATGGCAGCGGGAGAGGTGGGAGATGTCTGTGGAGCGGTAATTATGGGTTTACTAAGATTCTCCGGCACATCTTGATCGTCCCGGTGATTAATAACTGGAGATCGGTAAAGAGGTGTCATACTGGATAAGGAGAGACTCAACGGTATGGGCGGTTGTGGTGGGAGGAAACCGTGCGTCGTTGCCGGATGAAACGGGGGGTGATGAGAGGATGGCGGTGGCGGCGGCGGCGGGGACGGCATCGGCCTCTGCCCGGAAGCGATTTGCTGCAAGAGGGGTGGGTGGAATTTATCTAAATGTTCTGGAACGGGATTCGGGTTCATCTTAACATGTGGAAATTTGGCCGTGTGCCTTTGGAAGTGGACCTTCAGGTTGCCCTTGGTCGTGAACCGACTGCCACATACGTTGCACTTAAAGGGTCGCTCACCTGTGTGGGATCGTATGTGGATTTGTAGCGCCGAGTCGCTACCGAAGACTTTGCCACAGAAGCGACATCGATGCTTGAAGAAGGGCTCGCCGCGACCACCGCTCGATTTTGAATCGTAAGGAGATAGTCGCGAGCCCTTGCCTCTAAACGCGAGCTCGTCCGCCAAATTGTTGGCTAGTCCTTGACTCGCGTTATCCAATACCTCCTGGGTACGCTTTTGAAGAATATCCAGCGTGTTTGGCTCGTGAAGCGGCGGCGGATCGGTATTCGTTATGATCGATGAAGCAAGGGAAGCGCTTATCGAGCAAAGCGGCGGCATTTGATGTGGCATCGGCATGTGGCTGCTGGTGGTCGTGATGGCGGTGGACGTCGCGCTGGACGACGATAGGGGTAGATTCAAAGGAGAGGCGCTGCTCGTCGAAGTTGGCCGTTCCTGAAGCAGATTCGGCGTCAGCGGCGCAGGTGATGTTTGCTGATGATGACTCGGTGGACGAGAAGAAGGAGGTGACGCGAGACTCGACAGCGGTTTCGGATGAATAATAGGAGACGACGAGGCCTCTTTGCTATCAGCTGGCTCCGTCGCCGACGATTGTATCACCGATTGCCCGTGGGTGATCAACAATTGCTGCTGAAGTTGTCGAATCAGCTGTAATTGCAATACCTGTTGATTCTGAAGGGTGCACAGCGTGTTTTCCAGAAATGCCAAGTCTTGTAGCGCCGCTTCGCTGTCCGCCCCAGTGAGGGCAGTGGCAGCGAACTGGGCGACCGCCACTTTTGTATTCTGAAGGGCTTCGAGGGTGACGTGACTAGTCCCAGCAGGTGGGAATATAGCGGTAGGTAAGCCGCTCTCCACAAAGTTATTATTGTTCTCCGCATCTTGCCGATGATGAATCTGTTTGCGCGAGCCTTCCTCGTCCTCGTCCTGCTCGTCTTGCTCATCGATCCCTTCTTCCTCATCCTCTTCCATAGGATCATCGTCGCCCTGATGAGATCTCGTCGCTGTGAGATCCACGGCTTCCTCGCCACCTCCTCCTCCACCACCGCTCTCTTCGCCGTCTGATGTAAAGTCATTTTCTTCTCCTGCAAAAGAAAATTATGAAAACTAATGAATATAACAAGTCACTGTTTCCACCTACAACTGATATATCAAATCACAGATATTATATAATATTATTCGGCTATTATATACGTTTCCTTTATAAACGACGCAGTCTTAATCAATTTTACGTATTATACCGGCAAGGTTGATGTATTTTTCGCATTACATGCGAATATGCGTAAGCTGATAGCTGTACGACCAACATTAAAACGAGGGCAGATACATCAACACCTGTGCTTTTAAAGTTTCACTCGGCGATTAACATGAGCCCCAAGGTTAACATGAAAGATAAGTTGACATCCCATATACATATTACACTCAGGATGTACGTACGACGAAAGTGGAATTCTTAATGATCGCGATATAAATGAGTTTCCGGTTTCGTTATATCGAAATATATTCTTTGTATAATAAATAATTGCCTACTTATTAAAGAGAGCAAGAGGAAACGAGCAAATAAATCTCTATTTATTAAAAGAAAATCTAAATATACTTTAATATACTTATTACTATACATTTTTACACTGGTTTTTCAAGCTAGTATAATAATATAAAAATTAGTAAAACATATTTATGTTTTCACTTTTTATCGTAGGGAAAGGTGCATAAAATAAGAGTAATAAGATCAATACATAGCACGATAATATCATCAATTAGTATTAGAATAAGAAAAACGACTCTGTGTCACATGGATTTCTTGATTCAATATGCATACACAAGTCGTCAGTTAACAAATTTTACTGACAACGGTTTAACACTTTGTTAGATAAAGAGCGAATGATAAAGACTCCGATACTTAAAGATATACAATATATAAAACAGACAGAAGTACACCAGTCAAAATAGCGATTTCTATCTCTTTAGTGACTGTGTGTGAATCTCAAAGTTTGTTTCTTCTAATTTAAATAAGCGTATATTCAGCAAACTGCAAAACAATACAAAATAAAATTCCGCAGCTTAATTGTTAATTAAAACATGATGGCTGATATTCTTAAACGCTTTTCGGAATCAAAGAAAATAGAGATGTACTCAGCAGCGATGCGTTATGGGATTTTAAAGATATCTAATACATAAAAATAGACAGAAGTCTACCTCGTATTTCAGAGAGACGTTTCACTTTAGATAATTAACTATTTTTGAGAGAGAGAGAGAGAGAGAGAGAGAGAGAGAGAGAGAGAGAGAGAGAGAGAGAGAGAGATATATTCAAGAATTAATATTAATTTAAATATGTGACATAAGGTCTCAGTTTTAATAAAGAATCACATTGTATAAAAGCAATTCTTTTTATATCTGAAAAAGCGCTCGGAATTGATGACATAAAAACGAATCTATTTGGACTCTATCTATGCTGTCTGGGAATTGACTAAAAAAATTTAGTAGTCCATTAATCAATTTCGATCTGCTGCTTAAACGTGACAAAAACGATTCATTTTTCACACGAGTAATAGTGAAGATGAAAAATGGAAGGAAAATCTATATAATGCCAAACAAGATGCGCGCACAGAATGGATTCAAACAAAAGATCAGGCAAGAAGATCATTAAGATATTCAAAGATTGATCTTTGAAGAAATTCACGACGTGTAACTAATGGTGTTGGAAAGACATGGTGTATTGTAAATAAGCCAATGCTTATAAATATTCTAAATTAAAACAATTTTGAGGCAAAAAACGTCGAGAATTGAATAAAACAGTAGTCGGATTTAGATGAACTTACGAACCAATTTTTACGTTTATGTTTATATCTCCTCGTTTTGTTACTCGCGTTTTAACAACGAGCTATCGATTGTGTATAAAATCGCAAATACAAAATGTTCTGCCTCAGAAGATGCTCAATGGAATTGTATTTTCTGAATACTGCCAAATCTGTATCGCAACTTTTTTTCTAATAATTTCCAAAAAATAATTTTTATCTCTTCATTTTAATTAAAACCGAAATTTGCTTTTATATTCCTGTTGTTTTACACAGTCATTACGTAATAATTTTTATAACACTTTACTTAAAGATCTTGTCTTGTCAATTGCAATCGTATTGAATGGTGACATTAATTTTTTACACCAAGTAATATTAATTTGCGAGAAACTCGTAGAATTATAATTATAGATGTGTACATTATAATAATAATAATAATATTTTTTACGCTCCTGAGACAGAACGTAACGTTTTATTTTATACGCATGTCCGGTTTATTGTTTAAGACCCATTTTTGCGAGAACATAGTACCGATTACGGCAACAATGTCGAACTTCATATTTTTTCAACTATTCAAAAATTTTTTAAACTTGACGGATGAGTCTTGCTTTGTCCTACTGTATTCATATTGCAATTCTTTAGTTACTGAATAGGATTCTTTTATAGATTTCTGCAAGAGGGTAAAAATATGTGAAAGGTTTGTCATTGTTAGCAAAGAAAGCCTAAAAGAGAAAGTTCCGCAAAAATTTCAACTTTTTTTATCTCATCGAAGAAAACGGAAACCTCTTCGGAATAAAAAAAGTAAAGCTGTTTGAGAAATGGTAAAAAATGAGCAAAACGCTTATAGTTATCTAAAGTTTTAAATTCACATGTGCAATTCTTTAATTTTTTTTTAAGCTAAGAAAACTCGGTTGAGATTTTCAGCCAAAAATATCAGTCAATTTAATATCTTTTTCTAAGATTAATTTTTCAAGTTTCTGTGCGAAAGTAGTGCATTTTAATGAGATGATGAACAAACTGCCCTTGATGTAGCTTGAACTATCTCCGCGTATGATATACATACAACTCTATGTACAACGTTAGAATAAAAAATCTGTTACTCTTGATACGAGGAAAATGTTTAAGAAAAAACGCAATTGTCGAATGAATACCTAATACAGAGAGTATTTCGTATCCAAAATTACAATTTTTACTAATTTATTAAGTTTCTCTATATTTGTCAGCCACAAAAATACAATAATGAAATTATATTGTCTAATTTAAAAAAAGGTTGATTTAAAAATCCCAAAACATAGAAGATTTCGAGACAACGGAAATGAGCTATTTGCTAGTGGATTATTTATCTATTCAAGATAAATATTTACAGTGTCTCGCGAATCTCATCGAATCGTACCAACGTGACGATTTTCTTTTGATTCGCGCACAAAGATATATGCAGCAAGAACTTGGACATTTGTTTATTAATATATCGCGTTAATATTGAAAGGTCGCTTTACCTTCTTCGAATTGGTTAATCGTAGACAATTGTTACTTAAAACATTTCATCAACGAACCGTCATCTAGTACGCATTTTCTCGTTGCACCAAGAACAAGTAAATATTTGAAGACTCTAATGTTAAGTAAGTATACGTAGGCCTACTGAGTATTCGTCGTGACTCGTGGGAATCTTTCGTCAGGTTCTTCCTGTGAACGAGCAGCTTCATCGGATCCGTTATACGCCACTGTACACACTCAAAGCGTTTGCCGGGTCTTTCGTCCTCGTCTGGTATCATTCCAAATGAAACATAGCACTGACATGTACCACAACTGACACCTACTCTTGATAACGTTGAAAAACTGATAACGAACGCTCATCGAACCGGAAATGAACGGAACGGAACTGTCGCTAAAACAACCGTTAGAGAGGTGGAGGGATGAAGAAAATGGTACATAAGACTGCTCGGCAACGTATCAGAGACAACCGGAGCAATCGGTAGATCTCGTGCGCCGTACCATCGAGCGTGAGGACGAAAACCAACTGGTGTACCTGGGTAAAGAACCAGTCTTCATGAGTACATGCGAGCGACGCCACCATCTACTGGCCCCACCATCACCGACGGCGACGGTGCGGTGGTGGCAGCGGCGATTTCCTCTGTGTCCCACCACTCCGGATATACCACGGCGTGAACTTCCACCACCACCGTTCGCTCCGTGCCTCGGTTATGACATGGAAGGCGGCGCGGTTCATAAATCAGGGGGAAAGGGGGCGGCGCCTGCACGAGCCACTCACCGTCGAGTTATTAATTATTATCCAGTGCGCCGGGCGCAGCGATACCCTGCCGTCGGCGAGCGCGCCTCGCCTCGCCGCGCCACCGCCTACGCCGCGCGCGGCCGCGCGTTTAACCCTCCTATCCCCCAGATGTGTTCGCCAGCGGGTGGTCCGGAATCGCGCCGCGCCGATTTGCGCTCGATTTTACTCGCCGCGCGGCGCAATAGATTCCGGCCGTCTCGCGCGATCCCGACGATCAATTGCGGCGAGTAAATTCGGCCGTTACGTTTCCGTGATTCCGCGACGATAACGCGAGATAATCGATCTCACCGCGTGACCTTCGTCGCGTAGGGCAGCTACACACTCTCTAAAAGTCAATCAATGGATTATCACTGAAAGCAGTGGAATACTCACTGATTCACAGTTACAAATATACACAGTTGGAAAATTTGTGTTTTCTTGTTAGAAAAATGCCGGTTAAAATTTTTGTGTTAAATGCTTAACACATCCATGTGTTAATTTAACATATTGCTCTTGTGTTGATTGACCTCGCATGTAAAACTATTAAAATAACTGAAGAAACGTTAAAACAACACAATGTGTACTTACTTTTTAATCTTACATAATACATACGTTCTATATTATTAGTAACAAGATTTCTCGTTATTGTAGAGATTTATAGTTAAAATTTATAGTTAAAATTTACATAATAAAATATTGATTTTATTCTATATAACATAAACTTATTACATTTGTGAAATGTAAAAATCACATTTGAAAAAATACATTTTGTCATTAAAAACATGTAAATTTTACACAAAATCAATTTCACTTTATTTTGAGATTTGCATTTATTTTGTGTTAAAATATTCACAGAGTATTGGTGTGATCATTTAACATACCCATATTATGTTAAATTATCAGAAAAATTTGTGTGGACCGTTTGGGACACGCAATATTTGTTAAATTTAACACAAATTTTTCAACTGCGCACCACTGCGATTATCAGTGGTATACTTATTCACCGTTTTCAGTGATAATCGTCACGATTGACTTTCTATAACAACACTCACGTTTTTTTTTATTAGATTAATTATATTTTTTATGGCGTTATTATGTGTGTCATTATATTTTTCATGGCGTTGTTATATTAAAATAATGCTTGCCCATCGGTTTTTCGGATTATCATATTATTTCAAGGGTATCAACAATTTTATTAACTATATTGTTTTTTTTACATTTATTATATCTACAAGGACAAGTTTACGAAACCAAATATTTTCTTTCTCTTTTGAAAAGTTTGGAGCATTCGTTTAACGACTGTGTGTGTCTCTGATAACGAAAGCTAAAAAGGGATGTTTCTCAAAACGCGCCATTCTTTTGTAGATTTCGTTATTATAGCGCCGATAAACCAGCCATCGTTATTAGACTTAAATTTTCTGACGTGTCGATTATAAACGTTAGAGATAAGAAAAGAGGAGGAAAAAAAGGAGTAATAAACGGAAAACAAAAACGACGAATGAGACGAAAGTTGTGCGTGCATATACCAGAAACCTCACTTTACCGGGAAAGGTCTTTTCCTGGAATTAGTTAATGATGAAAGTGTGTGAGAAACGTAACCCACCCAGTTCTGGTCGTCATATATTTTATCGGGACAAAAGACATCCCTGGGCGTGGTCGTTTGAGTTACTGAATAGGCGAGTGAATTAAACATTATTGGATCACCGTCGATGTTTATACATTTAATTCAATTACTAATTAGCGCTAATCAATATAGTTTCATAGTTTAATCAATCCTGCGACTTCTAACCAGATAAAAAAAACTATTAACAATTATTCAATTTTAATTATATTAAAAACTATTCAATTACTATATTTCACTATACGGGTCGTGTTACAACAGCTACATTTTAGCTCTTGACCTCGGAATTGTCAGTTCTGAAAGAAATCTCGGGTTTTCGGTCTAAAGAAGAAAATATGCAACCTGTGGTGAGATCAGAGGGCGAAACCTTTTCTATTTTCTCGAAAGAAGTATTGTGACCTATATAACATTCGAAAGAATGCAACGTGGCGATGGGTATAAACGCAATACTTGAATTATTTTCGAAGGAACGTACCCATAATTTCTTTTCTTACGATAACCACCGCGCACAGAGATATGTACACAGTTGGAAAATTTGTGTTTTCTTGTTAAGAACAATTGCCGGTTAAAATTTTTGTGTTAAATGTTTAACACATTCATATGTTAATTTAAGGAGGGTGGTTGCTCAAATAAAAATGATAAAAATGAATTTAAATTTATAGAAAAAATATATATATTAAAATGATAATATATATATATAAATACACATAAATATATATAATAAAAAAATACATATACATATATGTAAAAAATGATAAGAATTTTATAAAAATAAGTGCAAATAATTCTATACATATTTACAAAGAATTTTGACGAATACTGGAATGGCGAGTTCTTTTCCTCAGAGGTAAACTGTGCTACAATATGGAACAATTATTTATTTTCTTCGAAAGAACACTATTTAATGGAAAAGTTAACTGGAGGAAGTCAAAGTACTACGGTGTCGATGTAACGCTGAAAACGAAGAATTTTCGAACTTTCAAATGTTAAATTTTCTTTGTAAAAGGAAAGTTTTACGACCTGACGCAGTTAAGCCCGAAGGCAGAGACATGTTATACCGCTGTTGAGAAAGATGTATCGGGGAGGCTTCTCATTTTCAGTAAAAATATTTTATATGTAGGTACAGCATCTCCGATGACATCACTGGGTCTGATACTTTAGTCGTCTGCCATAAAAGTCTTATGTTCGTGGCAGACCTTTAAACCCCCCACAGCGACAAACTGTTATATATCGCGTGTCCCATCTTTCCCGAAATATGAAAACTGGCCTTATGCGACAACTCAAAATCTATTTGTCACCCACGAATGAATCGTACCAGCGAAACAAATATTGTAAGCCGGGAAATGGCTCGAGGACAATGAAAAGATTCGAAAGGAAAGTAGTCGGGTTGACCTAAATATTTTTTAAGAAAGGGAGGAAAGAAAATGTGATGACTTATGACGTTGTAGTAAGCCCCATGTAAAATTAAAAGTTCCTTTGAGCCAACGTGAAACAATTTGCCGTCGATTTTGATGAAGAGCCTCTTTTCGCGCGAGGAATCTTCTTGGAAAAATGAGAACGCACGCCAAAGATATAACTCATGTAGGTACACGAGAAGAAGCGACATTTGTCAAGAGCTTACAATGAGTGTCACTTAAAAATTGTCCTACTGAATGTTGTATTTAAAGAAGTCCTGTGCTGCTTTTAACGTTGGAACGACGTAATCTAGTGGACACTCCAGTATAATTACACTCGAGCTTACGTTCGAGCGCGGATGCCTCATTGATACTTTCGTCATTTGTTATTTCGTTCGTCTGCCCACTCATCGATTATTTCGCGCATATATTTCTACGATGTACAACGGCGCGAGTGGATGGCCGTGCTCTGCCTTGGCGCTGCCAACCGGTTCTGTTCTCTCGTTGGCGCGGTTATTCATTCCGAACCTCTCTGGGATTCGCGTTCATGACGAAAGGTACGGATCATGTGTCGTCGAGATTAAAGGAATTCTTAGCCGCCGTGCGTATCTCCCTCGCCGAGTGCAAGGTCGGGGCTGTCGGACGCGAACGAGGTCGGTCGATGAGTGTCAACGACTGACGGAATCGGCGCGGGGGTCGTTGCTCTTCTCTCGATTTCGAGTCGAGCGCGTGTGGCGGAATCAGTACGGGCGACTCCGCGGCGCATCGGCGTCGAATACGGGAAGGATCCCCGTATTCGCATTGACGGGGTCGAGTCTCGTTTAAATAAGTTAACAGTGGAGAGCGAAGACGGAGCGGATCGGCGGACGGAGAAAGAGAGGAGCAGGGCGAGAGACGTGGACCGATGAGAAAGAGAGAGAGAGGGAGGAAGGAGAGAAAGAGACTAGAGAGGATACGAAGGTACCGAGAGAGCGAGAGGGAGAAAATTGAAAAGGGACCGAGCAGGAGAGAGAAAGAGGAGGGAGGGGAGGGAGAGGAGGAGAGAGAGAGAGAGAGAGAGAGAGAGAGAAGGCGAGCCAAGGGAAATTGCACATGGCGCCTCGCGATTGGCTCGCACCTGTCTCCTCGGACCGCCCTCCTTCAACCCCGATCGCGCGCGCGAGACGTGCCTACGTACCTAATACGCTTTCTTGCTCGTTGCATATAGCACGCGGCGTATCGGGCCGCGTGTATGCAACGGCCGCACACCTTCTCACAGGTGCACGGGCATTGTGCGGCAAGGTGTTCGTGCCACGGAGCCGTGTAATGAACCACCACTACCACCGTCGGCACCGCACCACCATCGGCATCGCCGCTTTACTCCCACTCCCTCCACCACCGAAGAAGCTCGCCGAGTCGTTGGGAGCCGGAACTAAGTGGGGGCGAGTTGCGGCGGAAGGTTCGCTTCGTCGCGCGGGCGAGGAAAGGACGGACGATAGTATATATTAT